GGGAAGGGAAATTAGTATTCTGCATCACAGCCGGAGCGGTCTCCTGGTTCTCCTCTGAATTTCATCATGTTCTGCAGAATCGATGATGCAGAGCGGGGGGGGAAAAAAACGACCCTTGTTTGGATTGTTGTCCGAAGAAGGGCTAAATTTATGCTAATGTTGGGTTTTTTCTGTATGTGTGTGTGTTCAGTTTGCAGTGACATATGTGTGCATTTATAGAACGAGCATGTTGTGTTTTTTTTTTTTTCCATTTAGCAGCACTGGTGGGGCTTTATTAGCAGCCGAAGCCTCAGCGAGCCATCTCGGTTAAAAAGCGTTCAGGGAGGCGCAGTTAGCTAATAAGGAACTACGATATGGAGAAACAAAAAGCGCGGTCCCTCGGTGGCACTGTCAAAGATTTAGCAAACAATCCGAGAGCCTGTTATCCCTAATAGGATTCATCACACCGTCTACGGCGAGCCGTCGAGCCGAGCAGCGACTGATGAAGAGGAAAGATGCAGGTTTTTTTTTCTATCCGTACACATAAAGCGGCTACAATAGAGAAAACAAACTTCATTCATCGAGCTCAGATCTGCGTTAGTTCAGTCGCTGCTGTGAACTCCAAGTTGGAGCTGAGAGTTTGAAGCTCGTAGACGCTGAATCAAAGACCGGACTGTGGAGGATTTTGTTTTGGGACGTTTTGAGGGAAAAGTCAAGTTTACAGGCACAGAACTGGAGCCGTTTAATGACATTCTTCAGTTAATTGAGCCATCATCTCTTAGAAAGCGAGGTTTATATCAGCAGTTTAGAACATGCTTCTGTAGGAATACAATATCTGTGTGCGGCAACAACAGCCGAGTGTGTTTTTCTCGAGTGTTTTCATCGACCGGAGAGCGTATGTGGCCGGACTACAACAACAAATCAATTAGTTTTCTCTAGCTAGCTATTTTATTGATTGAAATAATCCGATAAATCAAGATTCTGATTCTTTCCTCCCTTATGACAGTAGATCTGATATCTTTATAGGACATAATTTTGGGCTTTTGAAAACATTATTTGACATTTTTCACCATTTTCTGACATTTTATTGACCAAACAACTCATCACTTATACACTAGAGTGTCCACACAGCATTTTTTTCATCTTCTAAGCTCATTTTTTTTCATTTAAGCTCACTTTTCTCATGTTTTACATGACATCAAACAGCTCCAGCTTCTAGATTCTGGTTCCTTTCCTCCTCTGTGACAGTAAACTGAATATCTTTGGGACATTTGAGGACATAATCTTGGGCTTTGTCAAACACCAGTTGAGATTTTTCGCCGTTTACTTTACCGTTTGTGTTCAACGCTTCGAGCACTTCTTGTAGAAAATCTTTAAACTTTGGAAAGACGCTGATGCCGTCACCGACGTTCCTTTTTTTTTTAGAATCACATTGGCCCGACTCATCAGCTTGGTAACCAAGAAAATAGAGAATAAACTTGAGCTGTTTGATAAGTCAGACAGAAACTATCCCAATGAAGGGCCATGCTTAACTATCATACAACAGTGGTTAGTGTGGTTTTACGATATAGTTGTCATAGAAAAACCATCCTTCTTTAGCTCCCCAGCACCCTGTTAAGGCTTGTTTGTAGCTTTTCTGAAGACATTATATGTGCAAACACCCTAAAATATGATTGTTGTTGATGTTAAGGTGAATCAAAACCACTTCAGGAAAGTAAAAGATTGTAGCTGAATTTCTTAAATGAGAAAACGTGAGCACGTTGTCAGAACCGCGATCTCTTCCTAACTTGAACCAAACCTCCACACCATAGATTGTATATTTAAGATGATATAGCTTCTGTAACATCACCCACTGTTTCGACCACCGCTTTGAAGCCTTGAGCTCGGTCGATCTGTCAAAGAAATCAAACATAACTTACTGTATCGACTATTTTCCTGTAAATGGGACCATACTTTACTAAATTAACATCATATTCTATTGAAGGAGACTTAAACCTAGCAGATGAGTCCATTAACTTCTTTGGTAAACATTCACTAAGGTAACAAATCAAGTAAGAAGTGGCCTCATTTCCTCATAGACTTCAACCAGAGGAGTCGCCTCCTGCTGGCTGTTGGAGAGAATGCAGGTTGAAAGAATTTTTCAAACTCCGAACCTTCATTTATCTTTTATTTACAGTCTATGCTCCAGATTCAGGCTGCAAAAACCCCAAAATGTGGAAATCTTGAACTTAGTAGTGTTGAAAAGATGATGCCCTAAAAGTTTTTGTCTCGTCGATACGATTCAAAAGATACTTGAGTTTAGGAAAATGAGAAAATCAGAAATATTTGAGATGTTTTTTTGGGGGGGTGAGGCATTTTTGCATGATGATTGAAGCAACAAATTGCGATATTTTCTCAACATTACTCCCAACAGCAACCCTTTAGAAACTCTCTAAGAAATTAAAAGTAGAGAAAAAAAGGGAAGAAATCCTCCTTCTTTGATGGACAGTTATGCTCTTGGAGCTGCATTAAGAAAAGAAGACATTAAAGTTCAGCAAGGTTTATAAACCACAATAACTCAGATTAAAATAATCTGCAGTGGATTATTTCACCGAGACGTCCAGTTAAATGAGTTGTGGCCGAGCTGACAGGAGCACATCCTTCATTTTGTCATCGCACTTCTTCTTTTTTTATGAACTCTGTCCGCTGACGGACATCAGTTATCGAGGAGCGAATCTCATCCAGCCTCCTTTTATGTGAAACAACCCAGATGCAGTGCTTTCTGTGGAGCTTATAGATTTTTTTTACTTTATTTATTTCTTTTAAGGAAGCTCTCTGGTTGGGTGATAGCGAGCGGGCTGATGGCAGTGACTGATGCCCGGTGACTGTAGAGGAGCCTGGGGTTTAGGTGGGCGGCAGGAAAGACGTGAGGAGCCACCCAATGAGACGCTCCGTCACCGTCCTCCCTGCCTCCCGCTTCTTTGAGTGGAGACAAAGGAGGGATAAGCAGGTAGTTATTTTCAGTTTCAGCGCGAGATATCCGGGTTAATCGCAGCTAAATCATCTCTTGTGTTGCTAGACGTGAGTGTTTGCTTTCAGTCGGAGGCCGTCGTTCAGCAGCGTGGTTCTCCTGTTCATGCTAATGCAGGCAGGCCCACGCTTTCCCGTCCTTGTTTTTGTTTTTCCAGCTCCAGGAACGAAGCCCGAAATTGCCCCGAGATCACAGGAAAAAAATGTGGGGAAAAAAGGAGAATTCAGTTGTTTTTTTTCTCTGGAAAATATTTCTCTAATTTCAGAAAGTGCTTCTTGAACTACACCAGGTGTTTTTTTGTTTTTTTGACAAGTGGGGGGAGGATAAGTGGGAAAAGGATGACGCAGGGAAGGGAGGAAATCAGAGGGAGACGGAGACAAAGAGGAAAAAGAAACAAAAAAAAAAGAAGGCAGAGAGAGAGGGAGCTCAAACAGATTATTTACCTCAGTGGGATAAACAGGGAGGCATATAGGATGGAACGAATTTGAATGACAAGGCAGCTGATTTCTCCTAATTGGTTTTGACTGTCTGTCTTTGAACTGCCGGTGCGCCGCGGCTCTGTTTCCAGGCATACAGTTATCTCCTCCAATCTGGAGTGCTGCTTAATTTCTCAGACAAATATCAAACCTCTCTCCACACTGGATTAGTCGCAATTTAATAAGATTTGCACTGCCGCTGCTCACAGGGGCTGTTTTTTTTTTTTTCTTTTTTTTTTTTCTTGTTCTTTCTCCCTTGAAGCCGAGGGAACCCAGCTTTAAGGTTCCTCTCTGCTCCACCTTTCCAGAACACCCACATTCACCGCCCACGCATCCGCTCCCACCTGCAGATCGGCAGCAGAGAAGCCGAAGAAACAACTCTAAATATGTTTAAATATTGTTTCTCTTAAAGCTAGAGGAAAAAAAAAAAAAGAGCGACCACTGGGATGAGTTAATATCATGCATCTCCAATGCAAATCTGCATTTTGAGAGTTTTCTCAAAGCGAAGCGAAGTATCTTGACATAAGGCAGATTTCACTGCTTTTTTTCTTCTTTTTTTTTTCTTTTTTCAAGGTACCATCTTCATCCAAGAAAACTCTCGAGTGGAGCTGATTTGCATCAAAAACGAATGACATTATCTCACCCTGCAGTTTTTTTTATTTTTTTCTGTTTCTTTCCCTCCCTTTGCTTTTACATAATATAAATCAGATTGTAAGACTCTGCGGTGGAATAAATGACTTGTTCAGGGGATTTTTTTTTGGCACAATAAGTGCTGCCTGTCAAGACCTCAGCGAAGATGAGCTCTTCACTTGAGTGGCAGATGCTTTCTCTCAGCAGCATCCACAAACATCCAAAACCCATAGCAACAAGCTGCTCGCCTTACTGTCTGTCTAGACTTTTATTGACAGCTCGCTGCTAGATTAAGCCGACTCCACGGAAAGGTTGAGAAGTCTCCTGCAGAGCTCGTGCTCGGTTAACCCGTTTCCTTTCGCAAGAATCAGCTGAGGACGTCCGCCGGGTTGTTGCACCTTTTTTTTTTTTTCTTCTTCTGAGAGTCGAATGAAGATGTAAAAATCCTGACAGTTTTCTGAATCAACCCGTGAAAAATTAGCGAGCTTCTACCTTAATTAGGAGACTGCTTTTCACTTGATTGAGCTGTGAAGGCATCAAATTTGATTAAGATTTAATTAAACGCAGAAAGTCTCCCCAACCGGTCGGTGGCGCAGCCTTCGGACAGTCGCTAACCACTTGTTTTACACCAGCGTCTGACGCTTTGCATGCAGCCTTCTCAAATATTCAGAGAGCAGTGAACAGTGGTCGCTGTAATACATCTGCTCTGTTGGATATTTAATTGACCTCTTAACATTTTACATTTCTTCCCTCCTCAAAGTAGCTTTAAAGTTGGAAAAAGCATCTTCTTTTTTTTTCCCACCACCCGCTCTGACACTATTTCATATATATTCGGCTTATTCCAGTTTTTATGGAGGCAATATATTTACACTGTGAAATATTTACACCCAGGACTCTATATTTTTATGTCTGCACATTTCCCCTCGAATCGTAATATTCTAGATGTATTAGGAATCATTTTTACACACATTTCACCGAAATCCGCTCCGTCATATCTCGGCGCATTTGGAAACTTTCCCAACTCGACCAGAGTTTGAAGTAAAGTTCTGTGCGTTTGAAGAAAGTGTCGGCGCGCAGCAGGAGTTTGTGCCGACCGACCCGTCATTAGGTTACAGAGGTTTTTTTTTCTTTCTTTCTTTATTCGAGCTTGCAGCGTGGCTCCAGGGATGGTCCTGTCGGTCAGCCGATCCATCACTTTGGTCCGGATTGAAACATCTCAACTGCTTTTGGATGGATTTCTATGAAACGCGGCGCAGAAGTCCAGACAGCGGTTGTCATCTCCTGACCTCTCCTGAGTTAAATGTTGGATGAACAAATTTCAAAAAACTTTAGAGATCCGTCGTCCTTTCATGTGCTTTGGTTTATGAACCTGCAAAGCTAATGACATCTCCATCACTTTTAGCTGAACTTTTTTAGCAGATTTAAGCAACTTAAATTAAGTTTATTAAAATAAACCTCCCATCCATGGATAGATAGATGCAGTTAAGCTAGTTTAAGCTAATCTTCCTTTAACTAATAGGTTTATTCTGGCTGGAAATGGTATAAACAAGCGACAGTAAGAGGTTGTCCAAGAAATGTCCAGAAATGATTCATAGCACTAATCAGAATCCATTTTTATTGTCATTATGCAAATAATGAAATTGCACATGACTTTCTCCTTGTGTACAAACATCAGACTGATATGTTCGATGGTAAAGTCTTGATTTGCTTCCACACCAACCACACAGTTGTTATAATTGCTAACAGTCTCCACTGGGACGTCGTCTTCTGCGTTGGTCTCCAGCTCTTTGACGTTGAACGCTTCCTGGTCATCACTCTGGTCTTCAGGTTCCTCCACAGGCTCTAGTTGAGTTCTGGACGCCAACATGTTGATAATTCTGTTTCCTGTTACCCATTTCTCCACCACCATGGCTGCATGTTTCAGATCTTTATCACAGCTTAAGGTCCTAGTTTTTTCTGCAGACTGTCTGATGTTTTCCTCCAGAATCTTAATGGTTTCTCATGATGCCTCCTACTTTGACAACTTTGCCTCATCCATCAGCTAATAAACAACCACAAAGCATCACATTCCCACCTTTAAGCTTTACTGTGTGGATGATGTTCTTATGGTTGAATGCTTCTTCTTTCTTTTACCAACTGAATGCCATGTCTTGGTTTCCAAACTACTCCATTTTCACATCATCTGACCACAGAACTGATGACCAAAACCTTTCATTTATGGGTTTTTTGTGCATCTGTCTTGAAGAAGTAGAATCCTACATGGTGTTCGTCCATAAAGACCAGCCTTGTTCAGTGTGTGATTGAGATGTTGGTACCAGAACAGCTCAGATTCATCCGGATGATCTCACTTGGATCCATTCTTGCCATTGCAGAAGTCACTTTTAGCTTCCTACTAAACTTTTTTGAGGTATTTTAAGGTGGAACTCCTTTTTTGAGAATGCTTTGCACTTGAAAACACTTTGACATGACTTCATAGGTTTCCTCATCTTGTGAGCAGCCACAATGCACAACTGGAGGTTCTTACTAAGATTTTAGTCATGACTTGCAGTTGACTAGAAACTGACTAGAGAACTACCGCAGCAGCTGTATTTGTAATTTGTAGTACATTAGAATGCCCTGGAACTTGGTAGAAATCACCAAAATCATTTGGACTGCTATGGAGGCTGCATTTCCTCAAATATTTGTGCCATTTTTAGTAAACATTTACCAAAAAAACCCATCTAAACCAGTATTTTGTTGCTTGTTTATGTGTTTTCCAGCCCCATTGGTCGACTAAAAGAGTCACTACGAATCAAAAATTGAATAAGTTTGAATAAGTTGGGGCTTAACTGTACAAGGATGGATTAAAACCCACTACATGGTTTTTCTAAGAGTGAGTAAGAGCCCTCAGACAGCTGGGAATAAACAAGCATTTATTGTCCTCAGGGGGAATAAAGCTTGCATGTGATTAGTGCCACATGAAACGAGGCAACAGTAAACACGCCGTCGTCCCCCCTCCTCGCAAATGATGCCGCCCCTCTCCGGGCCAATCTGTTACAAACATGACACTTTGTTTTGACTGGAGCTCAAGCGCTTCGGTGTAATTCTGAACATGCCAGGATCTATTGGTGAGATGCATCATCCCCCCAAGTTTCATCAAAATCTAGTCAGTGGCGTCAGATATATTCCATGTGACAACTGTATGAATTCATGAATAATATAGCACCGCCCTCGGCGTCGGGAATGTAATTTTAAAAAGCTTGGATACAGTAGTGAGATGCATCGTTGACCATGCTTGATGGCCGCTGACAGGGGATATAAAAAATTCTATGCAATTATGGAATTCACTTTGGATTTTATTGTTTTGTTTTTTTTTTGCGACGAACCAATGAGCCATAAACATCTCGAGTTTATTCACCACTTTGTTTTGATGTCGTTAAAGGAGCAAGCCGCCAACTTTAGCCAGTTTAAGAGAACACAGGTAATTAACGCTGATGATGATATGATGGCAGTGTTGACATTTTGGGGCGTCGATGCCACAAGTTTAAGCCAACGTTACAGCCTGAGGGGTGTGATGTTTACCAGGATTCACAGTTTAATGAGCTCGACCCGCACCAGACACTGAAGGTCAACCTTTGCTGCATCGCTGTTTCTGTCTCTTATAAGCCCCTTTAAGTGCAAATTATCACTTGATTTGACTGCAGTGCATTCACAGACAGCTTTGTAGCCAACCTATCCAACAAATTAAACCATTCTGACAAACTTAGCTGCCTGTGTGGCTTTGGAACATGACGGACGGAGAACAAACAGTAAATAAATGATGTGTTTTGTTGAGACGGTTTTGTCATATTCATGCAGCTGTGCTTCTAACCTCAAATTAAATGAATCATCACCTCTAATCAGTCATAAAAGCTGAAAACAGTTAAACCTCTGAACCCCCAAAACTGTTGGCAAGCTTGTAAAGGATTTTATCTAAAAAAAAAAAACATTTTCAGAGCCAGAAATTGTAAAAACAGAAAGAAAAATAGGATTTTCACATTTCTACAAATGAATCATGTGTGATGTATGTTTTCATCAAGAAAAAATAACCAAATTGGAGCTTTAAATTGTGATATTTCGCTAAAATTACTTTATTCTATGTTTTTAATTTAACGGAATTGTATTTGTTATTTTTCTTTCTTTCTTTCTTTTGTTGTTACCTACTTTGTAAAGCGTCTTTGAGTATCTTGAAAAGCGCTATATACTATGCATTATTATTTTTAAAGATTTATAAATTCTCCAAAGATGAATCGTTTGTCTTAACCAGATTCTGTAAAAAACTAAAAATTCTGCGCTTCTTGGTGCAACTGTGAAGCTATCAAAGAGTCATCTGCAACCAACAGTCATCTTGTCAAAACTTCTGTGACTTTCTGGTTGAACTAGGATGAACTGCAGGCAGTGTTTGCACAGAGCAGATACCAAATAAGACCAGAAACAAATTAAAAAATGCAAATAGTTAAATATCTAGAGTATATATATTTCTGATTTATTTCCCCTCTAGTGTTGCTAAAACTGGAGGGCAAATGCTGGACATGTCGATTCCAAATTATTCCCATTTTTGTGA